CAACCATTTGAAAAAATTCACAGAAGAACCTCACAACTTAGAAATATCAAAAAAATTAAGAAAAAGGTATGTCATGAATGCATAAAATATATGTAGATGCTAGTCTATTTTACCATTTACTACCATAAAATGTATGCAAATCTATTATAGTTAAAATTTATCAAAACAAACACTTAAAGACAATATAAGGTGCCATTTTCAGTCAAAGAGAAGTATAAACAGGCTTGCACAGTGGCTCACGCCTGTAATCCTAGCACTCTGGGAGGCCAAGGTGGGAGGATCATTTGAGCACAGGAGTTCGAGAGCAGCCTGAGCAAAAGCGAGACCCCATCTCTACCAAAAATAGAAAAATTAGCCGGGCATTGTGGCACATGCCTGTAGTCCCAGCTACTCAGGAGGCTGAGGCAGAAGGATTGCTTGAGCCCAGGAGTTTGAGGTTGCCGTGAGCTAGGCTGACGCCACAGCACTCTAGCCCAGGCTACAGAGTGAGACTCTGTCTCAAAAAAAAAAAAAAAAAAAAGAGAGAGAGAAAGAAGTATAAACAAAGATGCAGTATTAAATTATAACTGCATAAAATTAACTATGGTACATACTGTGCTACTGTTGCTATTGCAGTGAGCTCAAGTGTTGTGTCAGTTTAAAACCCCGTGTGAGGCTAATCATCTCTGAGTGAACAACAGTTTATCTGTCCAGCAAATTTCATATCACAGTGAAAAGTGAGCTCCATGTTTAACTGCAAGGGTTTAATTGTGAAAACAAAACAAAACAACAACAACAACAAAAGTGAGCTCCAGCAGTTCTCAAATATTTTTCATGTTTAGTGCAATACTGTAAACCTTGAATAACACCATGGGACTCATATGAAGTACCGCCAGCAATACTGGAAAGGCTCCCAAGAAGCAAAATCATAACATTACAAGAAAAAGGTGAATTGCTTGACATGTATTTTGGATGGAGGCCTGCACCTGCAGTTGCTAGCCATTTCAGATGGACAATTCATCCTGTAAACAGCTGAGGTAAACTTATGGTATTGATAAACACAGTATAGCACTGTAAATGTAATTTCTCTTCCTTAAGATTTTCTTTCTTTCTTTTTCATAGAGATGGCGTTTTGCTATATTGCCCAGGCTGAAGTGCAGTGGCTATTTGCAGGTGCGATCATAGCATATTATAGCTTCAAACTCCTGGGCTCAAGTGATCCTCCCGCCTCAGCCTCCCAAGTGACTGGGACTGTTAGGGTGGAAAGCCTGGTAGGTGCTCATGGTGCAGGTGGAGAAGGATTTCTCATACAGCCTGCGGGCCACATGTGGCCGCCGAGGACATTCATCCAGCCCGCTGGGTGTTTTTGCTGCCACTGCCTGTCCTGCTTAGCAGCCGACTTGTCCCGGGCCCACAGTGCACCTGTGTGGAATGTGTGCCGCACTCTCCAATGGCCCTCCAATAGTCTGAGGGACAGTGAACTGGCCCCCTGTTTTAAAAGTTTGAGGACCCTTGGATTACAATATAAAAGTAAAAGGCTGGGTGCAGTGGTTCATGCCTGTAATCCTGGCACTCTGGGAGGCCGAGGTGGGTAGATAGCTCAAGGTCAGGAGTTCGAAACCAGCCTGAGCAAGAGCGAGACCTCATCTCTACGAAAAAAAATAGAAAGAAATTAATTGGCCAACTAAAAATATCTAGAAAAAAAATTAGCTGGGCATGGTGGCACATGCCTGTAGTCCCAGCTACCAGGGAGGCTGAGACAGAAGATTGCTTGACTCCAGGAGTTGGAGGTTGCTGTAAGCTAGGCTGACGCCACGGCACTCTAGCCCCAGCAACAGAGCGAGACTCTGTCTCAAAGAAAAAGTAAAAAGGTTTATTTTTATCTTCTGAGAGGAGAGAGAGAGGAAAGAGAGGGGGAAGAAAGAGAGCAGGGAGACAGTGTGGCATCCCAAAGAGAAGGGGGAGCCAGCAGTGAGGACAAGTGGCTTGCTGGTTTTATGGGGATAAAGAGAAAGAAAAAAAAAGTTACTGTTATCAGTTGAAACAGAAGAGGCTGTAGAGTAATTAGCAGGCAGCTGCAAGAGGTCAGGCTGTCCATCTTTCTTGCTTTTCTCTGTTCCTGGAGACTTGGTGGATTAGATATTTCCCTATTATTTCAGCAAGGCTGCCTTTTTAGGGACTACAGGTACATGCCATCGAGCTCAGCCTGCTTTTCTTAGTAACATTTTCTTTAGTTACTTTATTGTAAGAATACAGTGTAAAATACATATAACATACAAAATATGACTGTTTATGTTATTGGTGAGGCTTCCAGCCTGCAGTAGGCTATTAGTAGTTAAGTTTTGGGAAACAAGTTATGCGTAGATTTTCTATTGCATGAGGTTCAGCGCACCTAACACTCGTGCAAGGGTCAACTGTATTATTTTTTAGAGCAGATTTAGGTTCATAGCAAAATTGAGCAGAAAGTACAGAGAGTTCCCATAAACCCCCTTCCACCACACATGCCCGCCTCTCCCATTAACGACATCCTACACCAGAGTGGTACATTTGTTACAATCAATGAACACACATTGATACATCATCATTAGCCAAAGTTCATCATCTACAAATGTATAATGGCATGTATAGTTTTACTTTCCAACACAATTTTATGTTTATCAAAGTAGTACATGCTCTGGCTTAAAAGTCAGAGTACGAAAAAGGTTTATATGGAAAACGAAATGTCTCTCTCCTGCCCACCCGACCCCCTTCCTAACCTCAGTTCCAGGCAGAGTGGCATCTTCTTATGTAATCATCAGCCTCAGGGGGACCACGCCCTTGGCACTGAGGTAATGAACCTTCTCTGTATCAGGAACATCAAAGGGGACTGAGGACAAACAGCCCACTGGCACAAAGTGGCCAGACTGGCTGAACATACCCTCTGCCTCAAGATTCAATTGGGCATCTCTGATAAATTATTCTGAAAGTATTTTTAAACCCCTCCTTGCTGCTTTAGAAGCTCCAGTAGTAATTTTAGGTGTTTTGCTGAAGGAGGAGAACTAAAGCCCACTGGGGAAAGGCTGCTGTGCTGTGAAGCTGCCTGGGCAGTGAGAGATTCAGATTCTGGCCAGCTGTGTGGTGGGCAAACCTTTCTCCTTTGGACTTTGAGGTCTTCCTGTGCAAAACAAGGAGGCTGGATGGGTGACCATGAAAGCACCATCTGAGCTGATAGACTGAGTTAGAGTTGCACTGCTACTGCTGCTAGCAGCTCCATCTCTGGAGTCCTATCTGGGAGCCAGTGCTTCCTGTTGCGCTCCTTGCAACCATACTCAGAGCAGGTATTATTACCTCCATTTTACAGATGAGGAATTGAGACTCAAAGGTTGCCATGGCCACACCACTAGAGAGTTGCAGGGTCATGCTTCTCTCCCTTCCCTGAGGTTGGGTCCCTGAGCAGGTCCCTGTCCTGCTTTCCCTACAATAGGTGCTATGGTACGTGTGTATGAGGTGTGAAAGGTATGTGTAGGGGTGGGTAAGAGGAGGCCCCATGCCCTCCAGAACCAGAAGGATACAGCTCAGTAGGCCCCCAACATTTTAGGGCTCTAGGCCCTACCTCAAGGATAAGGTCATCATGCCCACATTCTGTTTAATGCCAATCTCTCCTCCTAGACTAGTGGGTCTCTGCCTTGGTTGAGTATTGGTCACCTGGGTAGCTTTAGAAAACATTGATACCTGTGCCCTGCCCCTAGATATTCCAGTTTAATTGTCCTGGGGCAAGGTCGTGACACTGGTAGTTTATAAAGGCTCTGCAGGTGATTCGAATGTGCAGCCAGGGATGAGAACCTTGTATTAGCCTGTCAGCTAATATAGCGGCAGGGCCTTGTGCTGATCTTGTTTGTTCACCATGCGTGGCCCTGGGGAATATCTGCTTCTCTTTGCCCTGCCTCCCCTGCCACAAAGGAGAGAAGCCTTTGCCCACAGCTACAGTACAGCAGCTCCCTTTCCCTGTGACAAGGTTCACAACACCATAATTCTGCTGTCCTGACTTGTTCTTCTTAGAATAAACCAAGGTTATGATGCTTCTCATAAATTTTTGGAACAAAGGCCTCTAGAATCCAGACCTGCCTGGCTTGTGGGCTGGGAAGCCCACCTTGCCTGCCTCCCCTCTGATAGGTATCTTAGGAGAAAAGAAAATGGGGAGGGAAGGTTTTTTGCTCCATGTAGGATGCCCTGGGCATCTTCTGGCTCCAAAGTGAGGTTGGCGGTCCCATGAAATAAAATATGTCCTGCATTCAAAAAAGGACAAAGACAACTCCAAAGGTTCCAGGGATCTCAAGAGAGAGTCAGGCAAAGGTGAATGTCACCTGGAGAAAGACAGTCTCTTGTCTCCTGCCTACTGGATTCAGGTACAGAGAGGCAACTGTTGTACTCCTAGCTTAGAACCCCATGTGGGCTTCAGGCCCCAGAACCCTAGATACTAATTTCAGAGCCTGCAAAAGAGAAGCAAAGTTGGGAGCAGAGGGCCAGGTGAGAGGTGGGCTGAGGACACACTGGTGGTTGGCAATACGCTGAACTGGAATCAGGAATTAGAAGTCGTAGTGGGTGAAATACCCAGGGCAGGACTCTAAGGTGGCCACTAAATGTGGCATTCCTTGTCCTGTTCCCATCTTTCATAAACCTTGGGCTTTGTAGTCACAGATTTGTAGCAGGCCAAATTTGAAAGGGTCTGGAAACCATGTGGTTTTCAAACTAGGTTTGAAACCACACAGTTTTCAAACTAGGTTCCTTGGAATGCTAGGCGTTCCTCAGAATTGGCAGGGACCCTGCCACACCATGTCCTCCAACTCCTAACATCTACTTAATGAAGCGGTATACAAGATTTCACAGGTAAAAAGAGGATTGTGTGGTAAAATAATAATACTAATAAAATCTGGAAATAATAGAGCTAATAAAACCATACTCATGGGGAATGAATTAGAAAACTTGCCCAGGGTCACCCTCTAGTCTCCAATTCCTCAAGCCAGGCCTGTCTCACAGCATACCTGCTGGTTCCACAGGACAGACAGCAGAATCCCTCTGTGGAAGCATAGCTTGAACACAGGGACAAAATGGCCACAAGGTCTCCTTGGCCTGGGAAGAGATGCATGGTGGTGAGCCATTCTCAACAGAACGAAGGAACCCAAGACCCAGACCTGCAGACAGTAGAATGCTGCCTTCACTTAACTGCCAAAAGTCCTTAAGATTCCAGTCTGTTCTTACCTTTGTGAAATGTAGGGCCCTGGTCTGGGATACAGGGCTCCTGGGTTCCAGGTTGCCCCACCACTTCCTGGAATAGCAGCCTTCCTTTTAAGGAAGGGAGCTGGGCACAGTCACTCTGTCCCCAGACTGTGGGTCCTCGAGGGCAGGGCCTGTGATCTCCATTGTGTGCTGTATCCTCCTCAGCACAGAGGACACAGGGTTCAGAGCAAGGCACAGAGCAGGAGCTCAAGGATCTTAACTGAAAACACAGTTTTGTTCATTTGTTTGTTTTGTAGAGATGGGGTCTCACTATGTCGACCAGGCTGGTCTCAAGAGATCCTCCTGCCTCAGCCTCCCCAAATGCTGGAATTATAGGTTATTTGTTTTCAAAACAAGGCTTTCATCAAGTGGCTCTCCCCATCTCTCACATACAAAGTGTGACCTTCCAAGGCAGTGACTGACTTTCCACATTTTATGGAATGACACTTTCTCCTTCCTCCTTTTTTCTCCCTTAGTTAGCTTCTTGGGAGGCAGAAGTCTTTACACTGTGGAGGAGTGGGCACCGGGCACTCCTATTTCTTCTCCTGACACTCTTCTTCCTCTGAGCAGTCCAACAGGTAGGGGTACCTCAAGGCTATCAGGGCTGCTTTACAATGCAGCATAATTTAGTAGTATGTGCTTGCCTAGGAATCAGGTAGAAAATTCAAATGGATGATCATGGATGGATCACACTGAGGGGAAGATCTGGTCCCTGGCTCAGGAGTTTTAACCTGCCTTTTCCATGGAACACCAAAAACATCAGTGATCAAGACCCTTATATATACTTACTTGGGGCAAGGGTCCTCCTCCCACCCTAGGTTCCCATGGGACAGGACCATGGCTAAGGACCCCAATCCCAGGCCCCAGCTGTTCTTGCCTTTTGGCAATGACTGAGATCTGAGAAATTCTCTTCATCCTGAGTCTCCAATAAGCCCCTCACCCACAACAACCTGAGGCTGGTCCAGTGAGCCCTTCTTTACAGACTCCACGACCCTCTCCAGAGTCCAAATGCTGCTTCTCAAGTCCTCCTTCCCCCTCAGTCATGGCCACTCATACCTAGTTGTCCTGGTCCTTGGTCCTATGGGGAGGCAGTAAGCTTTGTGACTTCACAAAAGGCTATCTTGTGACAAGTCTGGACCTGGTGAAGCAGGAGCTGGGAAGAGAGGGCTGCCCCCAGGAACATCATGTGACTTTTCATACAGAGACATCCCCAACTCTAAGGGATGAAGAAGAGCTGCCCCACGGTAAGAGCCCAAGACACAATTTACACCTAGAAATGCCTCTTCTTGGGGACTTTGGCTCCCAGGCCTAACTGCACACTCCAAGCTATATCTGGCAACATCTCTCAGAGATCCTAGATCTCTGCTCCCATGGCAGCCAGATCCATCCCAAGGGAGAGCCAGGAGGTTACTGTAGGTGGTGATGGTGTGTCTCTGACCTCTAAATTGGGGTCAGACCAGCATCCTCCCATTAGACAAAGCCATTCTTCTCCAAGCCCTTTCAAAATGAAAGAACTGATGGAGTGGGAATCTTTGACCTGAGTCTTCATCATCAGGGTCTGCCCCAGGATTCCCCAGAGTGCCTTGAAATAGGTAAGGCCAGACATCCTTGAATCCCACAGAAAGGTCTTTTGGCTACTAACAGGGATTGACAAAATCCAGGGGCTTCTGGGAGCTTGGAGGCCAGGCCAGCTTAGGCTTTCTCTCCAATGTAGATGCTACTGTTCTTTCCTCAGGAAGGATTTACAACCCCAGGAAGCTGAGGCAAAAGAAGCTGGGTGTGCTTGCTTTCTACCTTCCTTGTGTCTGTTCCCCAACCTCAACCCTTACCTGGTGGATGGCCTCTGGGAAGGGAAGGGCCCCAGAAATCAGTAGAGATGATAACTGGCAGCCAGGCTAAGGGATTGATCAGACAGGGCTGGGAGGTGCCTAGAAGGCAGAGTTTGGCCCTCTTCATTCTCTAGCCCTTTCTTTGTGCTGGGCATGTCCCTGGTGAATGTGGTCCAGGGTATACCATTTCTGGCACCCCCTCTGGCCTCTACTTTGATTATGATATCATTATTGTATCAGAGGACCCCAGGGAAGTAGGTAAGTGTTCTCTGGGCAAGGGTTCCAGATGCAGAGTTCATCCCAGAAGGAAGGCAGAGTGTATGGCCTGGTTTGGGGAGGGTGACAAGTCTGGCTTCAAATCCAAGGGGCTCCTTAACCTTGACTGACCTTCACCCTTGATTAGCTGAGCCCTTTTAGGCTTGAGGAAGCCTAGAGCAGATCCTCCTGCTGGGACACAGAGTGGATAGGTGATCCCAAAGAGTGGCTATTCCACTATTTTTCAGTGCTTCTAGAAATGTGCCCTACTGTATTTTTGGTAAGGAGCCTGGGCTTCTCCAGCAAGCAGTGCTGGGGGCAGAGATAAATCAACCAGTGTTGAGGTAGTCTTGAAGAACTCCAACAGGGACAGCCACAGACCAAGAATAATCAAAGTAGCAATGGCCATCACCACTTACACTGCATTTACTGTGTGCCAGGCCCCAAGCCGAGCACTTCAAATGCATTATCACATTTAATTCTCATAGCAGTGCTGGAAAGGAGGTAGTATTATTCCCACTGAAATTGAAGCTTAAGAGAAGTGAAGTCACTAGTCCAAGGTCCCACAGTTGGTAAACGAGAACACCAGTATTGGACCCCAGGGCAGTTTACTTCCAAAGCTGGACTTGGCCACTGAGCTACCTCCTTCTCTAAACTTTCCCCAATACAGTAAAAGAAAGCCTTTTTTCATCCCTAACCATCAGTGATGGAGTTAAAAAAAAGGATAGACGGGAAGAATTTGAACCTGATATCCCCTAGATCATCAGCTTTTGGATAAGGGAATTTTGACTGTTTGAACCTGTCTAATCTTTAATGAAACTCATTGGGAGGCAGCTGTTCTGATTTGCTTCTTACCATTTTGCAGATGATTAAAGTGAGGCCTTGGGGGCCACAGGAAGGGAGTCCTTGGGGTCTGTGGCTGAGCAGTGGCTCTGAGGTAGGGTTGCCAGATAAAATATAGGATGATCAGTTCAATTTGAATTTCAGATAAACAATGAGTACATATATTTTTAGTATAAGTATCTTAAATATAGCATGGGGCTCCTCTCTCTGGCCGGGGTCATGGTATGTAGGAGCTGGGGTGGAGATGGGAGTCACTGCTTCATTTCCCATTTGGGCCCCTGACCCATCTATGAAGTTGTGCCTGTGGGATCAGAAGGTGGGGACCACTGAACAAGGTGGGGCTTAAGCTGCTGTCTTTGTGAGGCCTCAGTTTCTTCCTTCCTGAAATGAAAGTGTTCACTTTGCACACCTCTTGGGGAATTGGGTAGTGTCCCCTCTATTCATTTTCTTGGGGGGCTGTAGGGGCCTGTAGGAAGGAGCAGGGCACCCAGGGAATCACTGGAATTTCCTCTTTGTCTAGGCTGGGGTTCCCAACCTGGTAGCCCTCAGCATCTTGGTGGCTCCTGTGACACTTCTAGACACTTGCAGTAGCAGTCTTGTCCAGCCAACAGAAGAGCAGGAGTGGATATGGGCCAGCTGGTCTCACCTCTCAGCCCTGGGGAGTTGCAGAAGAAAGCACAAGAGTTGTGGGGTAGCTCCAGGGTGAGGATGGGCTGGTGGGAGCATCTGGGTTAGATGAGCCTAGGAGGTTCTAGGAATGAAAGGCTTGTAGAAGGGTAGCAAGGGGGTGGGGGAGAAGGGAGGAGCAGCTTGAGGTCCAGGGAACTTTGTGTTGTTCATTTTCCTACCCCAGAGAGTGGGCATGCTTGGGGATGGAAGCAAGGAGAATATGCTGAAGTTGGTAGCCCTTGGTCCTGGGGCCAGGGCTTAGTTGTTCTTGCTCTTTTTTTGCTTCTGGGCAGCATCACCAGCACTTCTTTCAGATGGGGTTACTTCTTTCTCAGGCACACCATGTGGGAGGGGAAAACAGGCAGAGCAGGGTGAGACAGAGTACAGAGATGTTCTAGCAAAGAGGCCAAGAAATCTCTTTCCAATGATTGAGGACTGATGTGCTAGAACCAAGCTGGGTGTGGGCCTGGGTCATCTGTAGCTTTGTGTTTGCATATGCTTAGACACGAAAGTGTTACTTGTAAGGACTGGTGCCTAATGCATAGTTGGGCATGCCTCTGTAGCTGGCATATGTGGGTAATGCCTGTCCTGTGAACTGTGTCACCAAGCACACTTGGAATATGTGTGCAGCTGGGAAAGCCTGAGTGATGTCCCTTCCACTTCCCTGGGGCAGGTGTTGAGGGGGTGTCTGGGGGTACCTGTAGAGTATGGTTTTGTGTGGGGTGGTGTTGGAAGGGGGGGTAGAAGCTACAGAAATTACAGAAAGGAGATTCTTGAGAGACCAGCTTCTGGGCAGGCCCTGTAGTCTCCTGCTCCGCTTTCTCCAAAGCCCCCTCCTTGAGTCCCCCCTCCTCCGATCCCCCCCCCCACATTCCACCAACCCAGGGACCCAGGCTGGGTTTCTGAAGGAGAGCATTGCCATCTGGTGGCAGGCTGAGGCAGTGCCAGGAGCAGGTGAGCTGGCTGCCATTCAGGCCCCCAGCTAGTGGGAAAGTTACTACTGGGCTGGCTAAATCATGGACAGAGGGAAGAAAGATATCTAAGGTTCAAACACTCCACCCCCATACATTTTGGGTTTATGACCCAGGGAGGTGTGGCAGGAAAGTCACCTGATGGAGTGCTGGAAGGAAAGGTATACACAGGTTAAAAGACCAGCCTCTGGACCCATGAACCTGGGCTCTATTTCTTGATCTGCCTCTCTGGTTTCAGATTTCTCATCTGTAAAGGTGGCTAATCATACCTATTCTGTGGGTGGTAGTGAGGGTTAAATGAAGAGAGTGTGGCTAAAATACTTGGCTGAGAGCTGAGCCTGCTGTAAAGTCAAAGTAAATGGTAGCTGGGCACGGTGGCTCATGCCTATAATCCCAGCACTCTGGGAGCCTGAGGCAGGAGGATCACTTGAAGCCAGGGGTTTAAGACCAGCCTGGGCAACATAGTGAGACGCCATCTCTAAAAAAAAAAAATTAAAAAATTAGCCAGTGGCATGTGCTGCCTATAGTCCTGGCTACTCAGGAGGCTGAGGCAGGAGGACTGCTTGAGTCCAGCAGTTTGAGGTTACAGCGAGCTATGATTGCACCACTATACTCCAGCCTGGGTGACAGAGCAAGACCCTGTCCTAAACAAAACAAAACAAAAAACAAAGTAAATGATAGTGGCCATCATCAATATAGGTAAAGTTCCAAAAGCACAGAGAAGAGAGCTGTGTGTTGTGGCAGGAGAAAGGATTGCAGAGAGGTGATATGTCTGTGTGTGGCATTGCCACCACACATTCTAGAATTAACACATTTAGGTGAAGGAAGATCTCTTCTGGGAAGTGGGAAATGGGATCCAGTGAGGATCCCATTCAGGCTTTATACTAGTTGTGGAAACTGAGCAAGGCAGGAGGCTCACTATGGCTCGTGTTCTCCATGACAAAGTTTTGGCTGTGAGGACTCCAAGGAAATGCACAGGCACTTGCTCAGGATTCCCAGAGAGATAATGAGCTGTTTTCAGGCCTTGAAAGGTGGGTAGGATCTTATCAGAGCGAGATTCTATTCCACTGTGGAGTCACGTTTATCTTTCATGCCCCACAAAAGGGATCCCTGGGTCAGGGTAAGTAGCCTTCTAGTTCTGCTATTAATTGTGTGATGTTAGGCATGTCACTCACTCTGCAAAATGAAGGAATTGTGAGGTCAGTCTTGCCTAACCAATGGGGTTTTCAGTTTTCATTTCTCTATCTCACACGTAATATCTGGCAATAAATATCTACTCCTACAGGCTAGGTCTTGAACAGAAAGACAAAGAGAAACCAGTGCCTTCTGTTTAACGAGTACTGTGCTTTGTATGTGGGAAATGTTTTCTTAGATTCTGGTATGTTCTACGTATGATGAAGCAATGGGAGAATAAAACAGAGTCCCTCTACTAACACACAGGGAGAATAAGGCGCTAAGAGAGTATCAGGCGGTTATAGT